TTCAGAAGGGTGCCAAGGATTACATCTCCAACGGCGAAACCACACTGACTGTGGACCTTGAAGGTGGCAAGAAGAGGAGTGGTGGGCAGGGAGATACTCTGACTGGTTCAATTGCCACATTTCTGGGATGGAGGAGAGCCTACCTGGACCGTCTGTGGGATGTCGGCAAGGACCCCATCGGCGAGCACGAGTTGGTTGGTCTCGCAGCCTTTGGTGGCTCTGCTATCACAAGAGTATGTCTTTTACCCCCTTTCTGACTCAAAGGCACAGAGGTTCCCTCTGACTGCTGTTATCTCTTAACCTTCCCGCCGAGAGGCGAACCCCGGAGTTCTATGGTCCCAAAGAATCATACTAACTGTCTCCTAGGAATGTTCGCGTCTAGCCTTTTCTAAGAAGGGACGCAGTCTACAGGCAAGCGACTTGACTGACGAAGTTCATATCTCATTTCTCAACATCTTTGGTGAAGACGATGAGGTAGATGAATCCAAGCTGTAATTACAATTACGACTCTTTTATATAGATGACCCAGCTATAAATACATGACGTAAGCTGTGTGATAGTCTTGTAAGTGTATATCATTGTCTGTGAGTTGATGCAGGATATTTAGCATGGCATGCTTTTGCAAGTAACAGTGCCAACCTGGCGCCAGGCTTACGCCCAAAGGAAGGCGTCACAGAACAAGGATACATTGGCAGAAGAATGTTCATTTCTCGTCTGAGAGCCATTTGAGTCGCCTGGAGGAATCGGCTACACTGCGCTGACTTGGGTATGAGCTTGATCCCAAAAGACAAATAGACATGGGTAGCTTTAGGATATCTTACGATAGAGATTCCAGGGTTCTGACGGAGACGAATGCTATAGGATGAACGAACGAACGAACGAATGAATGAATATACGATTGTTTATCTATTATCTATTTACACGTGCCTCGTATAATATTGTGAACTTACTGCATCGTCCACGCATGTCTCTTGGGTCATGTTCAATCCGTTCATCAATCAAACTCAGCGCCGGCTTACATGCCTGTGCTTTTCATGACGACATTCAAGCTCCTAGCTTCATCAAGAAGATCTGAGTGTATAGCTTTTGTCTATTATCACTCAAGGATGCCTGCTAGTTTGTGACGTTTTCGTGTCATGGACGAACAACACGTCTTAACAGGGTTAATAAGTTGTTTCAATCCAAGTCTCTGGCGCAATACCCCTCGTATAGGTAGTGGCATTGGACTCACGTTGCACCTGAGGCACGCATAGGTACTCCATTAAAGTCTTGCCACAGGGGTCGCGCTCAGATCAACTCTGATAGAGCACGCAACTAACCATAGCAAGATCCAAACGGCGCGGGCCGAGTAGAGTAAGACTTGACAGAATCAGCCAAATACTTGACACGCTTCCAGGGGGCAGATAGACTTGTTAGCCCGTTTGGGTTGGTCATTGAAGGCACATCCGACCATCCCTGATGATTCAATATGAAGGGCAGCCAGCTTCTGCTCGGTGGAAGGCGTTGGCAAAGAAGGTCTGCATGGCCGAGTAGTGGAAGAGGATGCCTCCGAGAACTGCGGCATGCCAGAGGTTATGGCTTCCACCAACATAGTCAAAGCAGCCTGGAAACCACCTTTCGGGGATCTTACTGGCGTAAACAACGGCGCCCGTAAAGTACACGAGCATCGACTTGGAAATTGGCGAGTAGAAATTGTACACAAAGTCGAGCCCGTGAGTCCACCCAAGCTGAACCATAGGCATAAACCCAGTCAAGGCAAGGCCAACAAAAAAAGCGACTCGCGCCCATGCCATATCAGCACCATTAAAGCGAGGATGCCACGGAAGAATGACGCCTCCGATTCCGAGGAAAGCTGTTAAACCCATATAGACGTATCGGCTTACAGGGTCGCAGTAGAAGGCTGTATATTCAGTCGTCATGATCGAGGCAGCAATCAACAGTGAAATGCCGGTATAGTCCACGCAGGCAAATATTGAAATGGCATCGACATCTGCAACAGCATTCATAGTGTGCCAAACCGTTGAGCAAACCAAAGTGAGGCAAGCCATAACAAAAAAGACGCCCGCCACGAATACATCGGACTTCGTACTGAGTGTAAAGTTGGCAGTATTTGGGTAGAAATATAGCGCGATCGCGAGGACCAAAATGAGACCCAGTGCATGGGACCAGATGTTGACTAGCTCATTGGAAAGATTAAAGGCTGAGCGTACGCATTCGAGTTTGGATTCAGTGAAACGGTAACCCTTGTGGATGTGAGGGTTGTTTCGCCAAGGTGAGGGGAGGTCATCGTAGGAGAGGAGGCGCCCTTCCTTGGCCAGAACGATAGCTTGTTGAATGTGCTCCTCCAGCGAAAGGGCGGCTTGAATGGCACGCTCGATTCCTTCGTTGGCAACCCGGCGCCCCTCATCCATGAAAGCCTCGGCAGCGTTGGCGGCGTTTGCAAAGCCCTGCTCACGCAATTTGTAGGCTCTAGCTTCAAAATCAGAGAGCATGTTTTCGAGTAAATCGACTCCAACGTGAGCCTTCTCATTCAGCGACTCGGCGGCCTCTAAGGTCTCCTTGTATCTTGCCTCTAGAGTATCAACCATAATGTGTAAACGGCGTCGTCCTGCACCGAGAACTTCCTCTGAAGCGTGGGAACATCTCGAACGAACAGCCTGGAGTGTAGAGAAGGTACGAGAGATGCTGGAGTCCTTACTCAAGTCGACATAGTTCTCAATAAAGTCGAGCCGACGCTCGAGTTCAGAGAGGAAAAGGTCGACTTTGAGAAGAAGACCCTCTTCGCCATCCATGATATGGCCAACAATGGATCGTCTCCTGGGAATGAAGAAGGAGTGGCGTCGTCTTCGGGGTTCAACGTCAGGCCGGATGTCGGATCCGGATGTACTTGCTATATTATCCCCGTCCCGAGCCTTATAGGCACAGGCCGTTGTGATGGCGGTGGTAACGTCTGACATGATGGCAGCTGTGACTCGAGACGAATATTGTGGTGACTATGCCTCGACAATTGGGCTAAACTGAACCGGCAAGCGCTGTGACGCTGCAACTGAGGTGACGACGAGTTAAACTCTCTGCATCTGGCGATGCTGTGTGCGTTCGAACTTCTGTGACGACTTGGCTAACGTGAGGCTTTGTCGGGGCCACGAGCAAAAAATGAAGAGCGCAATTGGTTATTACTAAATGATTAGGAGTCTCGGAACAAGTTGGGCGCAGCAAAGAGAAGCACCCTTGCGGACCCTGCGGGTATTTTACACGCGGGGACAACGATTGCCGAGTCTGGTTGGCGGAAATAGTCCTGTCCTGTTCCTATTCTTGCTGAGTTGGATAAGGATCTGCGTGTAAGGAAGCAGCCAAGGCTTGGAAATGGGGAAATGATATGATGTTGAGAATATGAAGGCTTAGAAAGGAAAGTATGGGTCGTGAGGATATGAAAGTACAAGCAGAGAAGGGTCAGAGGGCGAAGGAATGAACCGAGCGAGAGCGCATGATGAATGAGAGGTTGAGAAATTGGGCAGTCAGATCAAAGAAAAAAGGACTGGTAGCTGAAATGACGGTACCGGGGGCGGTCTTGGCGTCCTTGTTGGGTTACTAACGAACGCCACTTGAAAAACGGCCTAATCGTTTAAACAAGGCAAAGACATAACATACCGATAGAATCGGGAGACAAGCCCGGTCCCTTTCCATGACCAGCAAAGAGAGTATGTATCCACGACTCTGGAGGGTATTTGGAGGGACATCCGGATTCCTTGATGAGCGCATATGACCTTTCCCTCGGTACAGCCCCTGACTCTCACGAGATAGAAAGCTCGGTAACTCAGCTCGCCACGGCCCGCTTATGGACTTTGATTGCGCAAGAAAGATGCATTCTCGAACCAATAGGGTGCCAAACCTGAAAACGCCTCCGATGCACCCTCCGACCACTTGGATTGAGATTTCGCTCTCGTTTGGTCTGTGTTCCTGGACGACAGGGTACTTAGGGATTGATGCTGAAAGTTGTAAGGAAAGGGGCTAACAATTCATTAAATATTTCGAGCATCAAGGCAACTAGACGCGAATTTCTTTTTACCACGCAACAGTCGTTGATCTTGGTTCCGCGGCCTCTCATAGATCCATCCACATCAGAGCTGTCTGGTGATCCCATAGCCATCAGAAGCCACAAGAGCCATTTCTTTTGCGGTAACGTAGCACTGTCAATGGTCTGCTTATTAGGCTTAGACGCCGAGATGTGGAAATGTTGATCGAATGAATGAATGAATGCAAATTAAAACTGCGTCTGAACGAAACTTGGTTGTCACGCCGTCGAGGAACGGTGCAACTGCCGAAGTCAATGGAAAGTCACTTGGTTCACGGCAGGGGCCTAAAAAGACGACATTCCGTTGAGCAAGCAGGTGAGAGAAAATACTGGGTCATAGTCAATAAGCAGTTGGCACTCCAACGACTCGATAAAGAGAGTCGGTGGATGAGTGAGTATTGACTGAAGATATGACTGTGAGGGTAATTGACGAGATCAATAATCAGCAATCAAATACCATAAGCTCAAGGTAATCGACCGATACGGAGTATAGGTACCGTTGATTTTTAGAGGATAGGTGGAGCTAGTCAACAACTACGTCACCAATATGTACCTATTTTGAACCAGGACGCATGAGGTATCTACTAAGTTAAAGAGGCTATGCAGAGAAGGGATTTCTCACTTAGACTGCTTTTAGAAGAATATTCACCCCAAGCGTTTGCTGTGCAGAATAAGTCATTGTCTTGAAAGCAAGTATAAGGTAGTCTATATTTTGTGGTACTATTTCTCCGTAAGAGTACCTTATAGAGTAGATCATGTTCATTGAAACCCTTTCAGTAAGCCCAGCCCCACCTTTCTGTTAGCCCAGGAACAAACAAAAGCCTGGGGTCGAGTTTGTGACTACTCGAATCCATCCAGCTATTCTTCTCCACATCTTGCACTTACTGTACATCTTTCGCATCAAAAGTACGACCCAAGGATACAGAACATGGCGATCGATAAAATTGTTACGGACCCAAGGCTTTGCGCAGTCTTGCAGATCTCAGACCAGGCACGCGACCAGGCTAGCGCACTCCTCACTCTGGGCGAACAATCATACAGCGAAGGGCCTCCTTCAGCAGAAGCGCAAGCTGAAATCGCCAAGCAGCAAAAACTCCTTTTCACGACCATGGCGCATCTGAAAGGACTGCACCGAAACGTCTGTTTCTCCGCACGTGAGACCAAGTCCCAGACTGCCGAGTCGCGTCAAGAAGTCGACCGCCTGCATCTCCAGCTTCAGAATCTGTATTACGAACAACGACACCTCCAAGGAGAGATTACAGCATGCGAATCCTACGAGTAAGCCCTTGTACATTGACTCCAGTCGCAGCTGGGAGTCGAGTGCAGCATTTCATTAACAAATCATAGCCACAAGTACCAACAATTACCTCTTATTCCTGTCGAGGAATTCCTTGCCCAGCATCCCGAACACGAGAATGATGACGAGAATACCTTGATGGTTGCGCGCATAGATCACGAACGGTCTGAGCGTGAAGCTCTGGAGCAACAGCGACAGGAGCTGCTTAAGCGAAAACAGAAGCTGATTGCGGATAACAAAAGAAGGAAGGATGACCTTGCCAACTTGGATAATGATTTGGAAAAGTTCATTGATGCAAGTTTCTTGACGCCGGTTTTCCTAGTCACGATTTGGCTTTTGTACTAACCTTTTCCTAGGCTGCCAAACCGATTCAGAAGCTATTTGAAAAGGCACCCTAAATAACGACTTTCCTGGAGGACATGCAGAACTATGGTGGTTTTCGCCCAGTATACGCTTCTGAGCCAGTCTTGAGCTGACATCACGGCGTAAGGGGAAACGCGTGAGTGTTGGATATCGAGGCTCATGCTGCAAACTTGATGGAAATCACCTGTAGAATTGCCGGTTGGCGTACGGCGTTGATGGACCTGAATGAAACCGCAAGGGAGGGGCTTTGCCACGGAGAGTAACGTTACAAGATTTCCTAAACATAAGATACCCATTGAAAGAGAAATCCGCAGAAATCGGCAAGTGTTCCCATCGAATCTTGATCTGTGATAGTCCGAGGTTTCTGTTATTTTCGCGAAAAGGCAGTTTGGCAGTTGGCATGCTTTATTCTTTCATTGAAACCCTTAGTCTTCAGTTGTATGTCCAAGCGAAGACTGTTTTCAGTATCCAAGTGCAATATGGCCGCCCCGACCCGTGTTTACTGTAAGCGCGACACTTGCCTCAGGATTGATACCCAACTTAACTAGGAGAGCAGCATTAGCAGCATCACGATTGCGACTGTGATCCTACGCCGATACAGAATTCATGGTTGTTTTCCCGTTCTTCCACAAGCAAACCATGCGTTATGTCTCACCTCAGTTGAGGAGGAGCCCATAGAACAAGAAAGCTCTACAGTAAGGGGCCAAATATGCTCAATACGGTCCATTAAATATATACTGTACCTAAGTTATATTAAACTTTTTTCCTCCCCCCCCTTTTTTTTTTTTTTTTTTTTTTTTTTTTTTTTTTTTTTTTTTTTGCTTTTCTACATCTCGAGCTTAGAGAGGCATAGCTTCTCGNTATATACTGTACCTAAGTTATATTAAACTTTTTTTCCCCCCCCCCCTTTTTTTTTTTTTTTTTTTTTTTTTGGCAGTTCAGAGGTCTCAGCTTTGCTACATCTCGAGCTTAGAGAGGCATAGCTTCTCGCTATCCGAAAATTCACATGGGTAGACATCCGAAAATGCAAGGGATCCAATCACTCAACCCCGTGGGCCAATGATAGTCATGTAACATCAACGAGACTCTACACAACCACGTCGACTACCAAGTACATTGAATTGGATGCTGGCTTGTCTGGCTACAGCCAATGGATCGCAGACCCCTTGGGTAGATATCTAAAAGACAATCACCAGCCGCGGTCGAACTCCCACCCGTGACCGGACTTGGACCCATAGGTATCTGGCGGGATCCTCAACCACTGATAGAGGCGCGTGTTGTGGTTACGGCCTGCGATTGACAGAGGTTTCTCATGCTATCAATTAAGACCAAGGAAATGTTACAATGGCCAGGCAGCCACTAGAGAGCTGAGCGAGCCTCGTGGACACAGCCTCGAGCCAGTCAAAATTGCTGCATAGCAACGTTGTCGGACAGGCATCAACCAAAGGCCAAGCGTCTTACATCAATTTCGTCACTCTTCATCTCAATTTCCATTGAGATCATGAGCATCAATCGATGTCAAGCCGATCAGTGGTCTTCTGTGTAGGACTGACACAGAATGTGGTTTCTGAGACACACCAAAGGTGCCAAATCTTGTCTGGGATATACACATCGCCATGCCACTGACCAAGAGCAACTAGACCTTACGACAGCCGACCTTGGGTTGGTGAGAAGCAGTACTCTCATCTAGGCGCATTGACCTAAGCCTTGCGTGCAGATCAGCTTTTGATTTGTGTCAACAGAGAGGCTTTGGATTGCGGGCAAGGCATTGCCATGGAACAGCGTAGAAATGAATGAACAAGTACATGGATTAGAGACAAGAACTTGCCAGGAACTCTGAATCGAGAAGTGCCACACTTTCTAGATAATCTCATTTCTGAGCACATAGTTTGCTTCGTCTTGACGTCAAGTACCTGGGTTTGAGGTGTTGAAGTCGGACATTAAGCTTCATGAGCAACTTGAATCCTATGGGTCTTCATGGTCGAAAACGACTGAGTGCAGTACATCTCAGCACTCGAGGTAGCTCTGGCTTGGAGCCATGGCTCCTGGGCCTGCATCACGTTGATTGGGGACAGAAAACATGGTATCCTCGTTACACCATGGGCAATTGATCCCTTGTGAGTGGCCAAAGATAATCCTAAGCCAAAGTCAAGGGGTCCGAGTCAGGTCCACTCGCCATGATTCATAAATGCTTAGCAGATGTATAGTTAATGAGCTTGTTTGCTAAGTCTCATTAGCTTATTATTAGACTACAGAAACAGAGAAACCATGTTGACCGCTATCGACCCCAGTTTCAATCCGAGATACTGCTAGTCCAAGTTGCTTGGTATGGAGTCGATGGTTGGTTCGCAAGCAGCATGACGATCAAGCCTCACGGTATCATGTCCCATGTTGCCCACCCCATATTTCGGCACATGGGGCGTGGATCTTCAGTAAGATGTTATCTTGTTCTTCTGGCCGAATCAGAAAAGCTAGAACATAGCGCGTGCCATAAGGGTTGGTAACCATTATTGAGATCTGGAGGCTGGCGAATACCCTGTGTCTCGTGCCCTTGACTTGACCATCATGACCATCATGACCACCCCATGTCTTTTTGTTCTCTGATCTCTCAGAGCTAACTCCCTTTAGATTTCATGTTAATTTTCGGATTGTGAAATCGGATGAGCATAGCTTACTTTGCTTAGCCTACCTCAGATCGACCAGGCGAATATCTCTCAGTAGCCTCCCACTTACACATGCATTTTCAACGTCATCCCGCCTGCTTTGTCTTTCTTTCTTATCTTGCTTTCCAGTTAACAAATCCTTGCTCTGGCCGACCTGGTCTATGCAAACTATTATTGTTTTGCGTTCTCTCTTCGGACCTGAGCCAAACGCCTGGACTACTCGGGCTCTCTCGAACCACATCGAAGCTTCAAATATCCAAGAAACCATATCTTTTATCTTACACAGCATGTCGTTGTTCACATGGTTCGCACAACGCGCAGGGGGATTAAGTATGATCACGCTAAGTGCTCTCTGCTATTGGGTCATATACCACGATGCCTCTCTTGAACAATACCGAAATGAAGGCAAACAGCCTGCCTCCCAATATCCTTCAGATTCTGCCATAGGTGCTGGTATTTGGAGCTTCTTCTTCGCATATTACTGCCTTTTTGTTCATATACTGGTTTGCATTTTCCCTCTCCGAGCCTGCTGGACTATCTGGACTCTCACCCAATCCATGAAAAGAGCAGCGCGTAGCGATTCATTACTTGATCTGAAAAAGCTCGCTTCACGTCGGGACTCCTATACTTCCGTGTCGAGCTCCGAGACTCTCAGATCCAGTCCAGACAGTCCAGCTTCCTCCACTACCAGTGAAGCCGGCGATTACGATCCTGAATATTACACAGACGGCGTGCCGGGAGCTTATGACAACGTCGTTCATGTCATCATCATTCCAAACTACAAAGAAGAGGTTGGCACACTCAGGGAGACCCTCGATGTTCTGTCATCCCATCCTCAGGCTCATTATTCATATGATGTAAGATTTTATCTTTCTTGAATGTCAAAGCACAACCGTGTACCAGTATCTCATAAATATGTCAGACTCGTCTATTAAAGTCTCTCACTGATATTTCTCACTAGGTCTATCTTGGAATGGAACACAGAGAGAGTAGCGCCGAAACGAAGGCTCTTGGACTGATACAGGAGTTCGCGAAGAAGTTCAGATTCCTTGACTTCACACTTCACCCATCAGAAATCCCGGGTGAAGCCGCTGGCAAAGGCAGCAATCTCGCATGGGCTGCTCGCAAGCTGAGCGAGAGGTACTCAGAAGCCGTGAGGAAGAACGTTATAATCACTGGTATTGATGGTACGCCAGTTAGGAAACTAACACTTTATCCTCGCCCGCTCATTGCTGACTCGTGGATTCTCTAGCCGATAGCCATCTTTCATCGAACTACTTTACCCTTCTGACAAATATGCACTTATCCTATTCCGAAACCGCATTGACTACCATCTACTCGGCTCCTATTATTTTCGACAGGAACGCACATTGTGTTCCGTCTCTTGTCCGTGTTGCTGATATACTCTGGGGCGCTGCTGGTATGTCTGGCTTGTACCCTGGGTCTTCTATTTCTCCGCCTACATCCGTCTACTCTCTTCCTCTAGATTTGGTTGACCGGGTTGGCGGATGGGATTGTGGCAGCGAGGCCATCGGTGAGGACCTGCATATGTATATCAAGTGTTTTTTCGCCCTCAATGGCAACTTAACCAGTCGAGTCATCTATAGCCCTGTCAGCCAAAGTAACGTCACGGGAGGTGGAGGGCTACTGAACGACACTCGCGCTCGTTATAAACAGGCTCTTCGTCATATGTGGGGTGCTCTTGATACTGGCTTTGCGCTTCGTAAACTGGTTCAGCTGTGGCAAGATCGCAAGCAAACCTGCCGTTCCTATCAACCCCTTCACTACACCATCTCAGATGCCGATCATCTTGCCTTTCCCGAAAGCTCCGCAAGCGATGAGAACAGTGGTCAGGCCTATGACAACGGCATCTTCTCAAGCATCCACAAGGAAACTATTCAACACCCCCACTGGGAAAATGTTTTCTATATGCTGCATCGCCTTTTCGAAGCTCACTTTCTTCCCGTTCATATGGCTATCCTGGTTCTTTCGTCAGCACTTTATGTAAAGCTCACAGAAGGCAATGGAGACCCACGAAGCCTGGCTTGGATTTTTAGCTGGTGTAATCTTGTTCGTATTTACGGTTTCTTTCAAATTGGGGTCTACGTGTCTCTATACGAAAGTTTCCACCAGACAGGAGTCGCCAGCCGGGAGAGAGAAATGGTCAAGGCTGGACTGGCAAACGGGATGGACTTTTCCCGACGATCTCTCAAGAACAACTGGTATGACTACTTTGCGATTCCCGTCGTCGCTCCTCTATATGGCACCATACCCAGTGCTCAAGCTTTGATTTGCCAGCTTTGGGACCAAGACCTTGTTTATACTGTGAGCAAGAAGGCAACACGGCGTCAAATACCCGGCGTGAAGGTTGACAACATGGCCTAAGACCAGAAATGCTGTCGTCGTGGCCCCTGGGGTCTTGACGTGCCAAGCAACAGTTTATGATGATGATGATGATGGGTACATATGGCAAGTCTCACAACTAATATGGGGAAGAATATATACCAATGACTTGGTTAGTCAGGAAAGCTTCCATGCATTTGGCAAGGGTACTTACCACTTTGAATGATGGTCGGTTTGTTTAAGAGATCATCCCGAAGCGTGCTCAGAACGATATACATAATGTTCTAATTCGAGGAGAGGCAGATGGATATATGATGCATGGTTTTGTGCCTAATAAATTACTTACTCTTCACCACCTACTTAAAGATGTTATACAGTTCTAAATATTACATGGGGTCTGGAAAAGATTGAGGACAAAACATCTTGCTTTAACACTATAAGCTTATGCCACGCCTATTTGGATGGAAAGCTACAGATCTTAAGATTGAATCATTTTGAACTCATAGGTGTAATACCATATCATAATTACTTCCTGACAAGTTGAATAACGCCACCTTGCATAAGAGAGAACGTCGGAGAGCCCGCCGGAGTGGAGCCCTCTGGTGCCGAAACGCATCGGATATTAAAGTCAGTTGAACCAATGAGAAGACAGCTGAGTGACGGATTCAGCATTTGGAATCAATGTTTGTTAAAAACTGCATGACATTATTCTTAAAGAATGCCTAGCTCATACGGGCTGTAAGTCGAAGGGGTGGTCAACGGAGACACCCTTTAAAACTATTTAAGATAACGTACATTTAAAGAGCAAAGAACATAGAGTACCTTTATTTATCATCCGAAACCTACGAGTATTACCTCAATATCTACCGCTCAATTTAGCAGAATTCATCATAGTCGTTTATACCAATGTCTTCGAAGCAGCTGCGCATTGGCGTTTTCATGCCCTCAAGCGTACAGCTACTTGATTTGGCAACTGTCGATGTTCTCGCCTCAATGTCCAAAGAATACCTTCGCCTCCTTCCTCTCCCCGCACACATTAGTGAAATAGCACCCAGCACCAAGATTACCTATATCACATCGCCAAAGTTGTTTCCAACCGTGAGCTTAACTGCAGATCTATCCGTCCGTGCATCACACACGTACGAGGATGATGACGTTGGTCCCGGCAAACTTGACATTATCGTCGTGCCTGGTACAGATCCAGCAGACGACTTTGAAGAGGCATCGACAAAGTGGCTAAGAGACCATTTCAACACCGGGGGCGTTGATGTATTGTGCGTCTGTACTGGTGTTTATCTATGCGGTGCTGCAGGCATTCTCGACAGCCGCCAGGTAAGTGGCCCTAGAGGGCTTCAGGATGAATTAATCCGAAAATACCCAAACGCACATTTCGTCGGGGAGGAGTATCGGTGGATTCAGGACGGTAACCTTTGGTCAAGCGGTATGTCTACGGCAGATCAAGATTAGGCCAGTTGCTTACAGAAACATCAGGTGGGATAACCAATGGCAATGATCTCATGGCTGCGTATGCTCAGGCACAGAACAAATATTGGCCAAAATCGATCTCTAAGCTGGGTGCGATGTTGGTCGATGTAGGTGATCGACCTCAGATTTACCATCAGAGCCAGCGCAAGTTCTTTACGGTATTCGCATGGCAAGTAATCCAGAGCTGGTTTTTCAGCCTGGTGCCATTTGGGAAAGGTTTATTTAGGGCGAATAATGATTCCTCCTAAACACCTACCTCGGTGTACCCGAACATGCATGTATAATCTCAAATCACCCGCCTTAACCCATGAACGACATTCAACTCTCAGATATTCACTGAGCACAGAATCATGCTGTTAAGATAAATGTGGATTGACGGAATTCGGTTCGACTTATTGTTTAATTCCCGGATTCTTTTAAATATATATATTAAAGGAGTCTATGATTCTATTAAAATCTATAAATACTTAAGTCCTTTTTTCTTTAACGTAGATATCTTAAGTTTCTTACCTCCCCTTATTAAGCGTCCTACCTTCGTATACTGTTTAAAACCCGTCAAGGTCCTCTATAAGGCACTCAGAACGGCGAGAAAGGTTTACCAAATCTAACCAATGATGCCTACCAACCCAGATATGTAATTGTGTCAGTCCAGAATTTTCTGACGCTTCCCCAGTCGTCTTGCCAGCATGCTAAGGCGGCCTCGCGGAGCAAGAAAACATCAAGGCCTTGATATAGGGTGTCAAAATAACCTTAGCAAAGGTATTCTAAACTTATGCTAAGTTGCCTAAGTCTTTTTGTCATTCAGAACCTAGAACGGGAGGACGGCTCTGTTCACAACTTCTTAGTGGAGCTTGCGGCGGGAAAATCTGCACCAAAGCGGAGACAAGGTAACTCGTGTTGCTGTGACAGTGAACACCCCACTACGATAAGAACCTTTATCGTGGAGTTCTATTGGTTGTACGCGTGGGGCCCTTGTTGAGCCCCGAAAAAAATTTCGAAGCTCTGGAGTTGCTTCTCGATTCTTGGTTTTCTTCTTTTGCAGGAGCGAGATTCTTATGAAAACCTCACTCTATCACCATTCCTCATCCTTCCACTCACTTTTCTGTTTTCTTGCTTCTTTCCGGAATACGCTTTACATTTCATCCTACGTTTGAAACAAAAGTAATTATATAACCGCCACAATGTCCGCTGTTCCTGGTCCCGTCTATGGCCTCGAGGTCCCTCCTGGAGAGATCTTAATTCCAGCCACCATGGAATTTCCTGCCTCTGTAAGTTCTTCTCCGTCGCGCTGGATCTTTTTTGATGCGAAGCAATGCGCTGCTTTGCGCTAGCTCGCTTTCAGTTGGCGGCGCATCATTTGCGACAGCAGTTCAGTATGGTCTTGAGCTCATAGTTCTAACCGTGAAATCATACAGTTCCGCATTACCATGGCTGCTGTTGACCCTACCGAAGAGCCTGAGGCCGACGGTGAGGGCAACATTCCTACTGTTCCTCGATCCACCCTGCGCCTCGTCAAGCGTGCTCTCCCTGGTCTCGATGAGGATGAGGATGATGAGATCGATGATGAGTACATGAAGGCTCTCCTCGCCGGCTCCGACGATGAGGAAGACTCTGATGAGGAGGCCAACGGTGGCCCTAGCGACCCCGTCAAGGCCAAGAAGCAGAGGCAGGCTGCCGCCATCAAGAAACTTCTTGAATCTGCTCAGGAGGAATCTGATGAGGAGATGGAGGATGCTAAGCCCAACGGCAAGGCCAAGGGCAAGGCGAAGGCTACAGAGGAGGACGAAGAGGAGGATGACGACTCCGATGATGACAGCGAAGAGGGTGCCGATCTTGAGAACTTCGTCATCTGCACTCTCGATACTGAACGAGTGAGTCTATGGAAGCATAACCCCAGAACTGTCAGCTAACTTTTATGCAAGAACTACCAGCAACCCCTCGATATCACTGTCAACCATGGCGAGAAGGTTTTCTTTGTCGTTACTGGTACTCACACCATTTACCTCACCGGTAACTACATCATGGACGATGATGAGGATGATGAGGATGAGGATGAGGATGACTACGATCTTTCCCCCGATGAGCTTGAGTATGCCCTCGAGGGTGAGGAAAGCGACGAGAGTGACGAACTTGATGGTGTCCAGGACCCCCGTGTTCAGGAGATTGAGTCTGACGAGGAGGAGGCCCCCAAGCTCGTTTCCGTCCAAAAGGGCAAGAACAAGCGCGCCGCTGAAGAGGCTACCGAGGGTCTTGACGAGCTCATCTCCAAGGATGATGCCAAACTGTCCAAGAAGCAACAGAAGAAGCTCAAGAACAACAAGGGCGAGGCTGTTGCTACCGAGGAGAAGAAGGACGCCAAGAAGGTTCAATTCGCAAAGAACCTCGAACAGGGTCCCACTGGCTCTGCTGAGAAGGCCAAGCAGGGCAAGGCCACCACCGGTGTCAAGGTTGTCCAGGGCGTGACCATCGACGACCGAACTATTGGCAATGGCCGTACTGTTAAGAATGGTGACACTGTTGGTGTCCGATATATCGGCAAGCTCCAGAACGGAAAGCAATTCGATGGTAAGTAACTAGCTTCCGTGGTATCTTCAACTTGATTAACACATTGATAGCCAACAAGAAGGGCAAGCCTTTCTCCTTCAAGGCTGGCAAGGGACAAGTGATCAAGGGCTGGGACATTGGTGTTATTGGCATGGCTATTGGTGGTGAGCGCCGTCTCACTATCCCCGCTCATCTTGCCTACGGTTCCCGTGGCCTTCCTGGCATTCCCGCCAATAGCACATTGATCTTCGATGTCAAGCTTCTTGAGATCAAGTGAGTGTAGCGTAGCATATGCCTCCACTCACTCGACACCAAGCCGACTTGCTACCGACCTCGTGACATAATACCCCCAAAAGAGGTGGCAGAATTTGGCGACAAGTTGATGACGTCGTGGACGCCTGTATTCCCCAGGCTTCATATATCATATCTGCTGTTCACCCGGTGTGGTTGTTCTGCATGCGAGGATAAGAGAGCCCAGACTTGTACATTCTGCCGAGGGCCGTCGGTGTTGAGAGCAGAGTCAAGACGGCCATTTAGAAAGGCAAAACAGGAATGATGTGGCGAGGACCGTCCCCGTTGCATGACATGAAATGGCGTACGATAAAAAGGGTTATGCTTGCGCTTTGCTATTGATGGCGGGATAATTTTCCTGTGCCTGAAAGGATTTTGTAAGGTTATACAGATAAAATACTATTTCTTTCCTTTTCATTTGGTGTTTTCTCCCTGCCGATCCTTCTTTGTATTGATTTCATTATACCATTCATGAGAAGTCGTGGATGTCGAACCTTCCACCCAGCTTGAGGTAGGTTCATCTCCTTCTGACTCAACGGCCCCCCGACTCTGCTCCACAACAAGATCGCCGAGAGAAAACTCGAGCGCCATTCTCTCCGCATCTGGCTACTGCATTATCTTATTAGACGCGGCCTGCCCTCGGATGTTGATGGATGCAGTGCTAAATTTATCTTTATTGACTACCCTGGAGCATGATGGCACCAACCTTGCTCAAGAAAGCCAGTCAACAATTCGTTCGTCTTTCGTCCTGCGATTCGAAGACTATCATTGAAGCATCTCCAGGATCCGAATTGAATGTTGTAGACGGATCAGAGGCGCAAACTTCGTGGAAGTTTCGCACTGGCGGTTCAAAAAGATGGGCACCTTTTCGGGGTGCCTTCAAGAATATGAGAAAAAACGCACGCAGTCGTAAGCCGTCTTACTTGTCCGGTTTATATCCCATTAACGTGCAGTAGGTGCCGAACTATCCAAAGATGCTCATGACTTCGCCGAGGACCAAGCCAAAAACCATTTACTTTTCAGATCTGTCCCAAGACTGGAACGTGGAACGAGAAGTCCAGAGGCAAAGGAAGTAGTAACACGAAAGTTGGGGTTGCATCCCACGGCTATGGCATCAAACTCTACTTTGGTAATCCGAAACTCGCCAAAACGAGCACGAAGCTCTTTACAGCTGGTCAATCCTACTCCTTCCAGTGGACTAATCACTCCGCCCTCTTCTGAGGCAAGCGATACAGTCACAACAGCCGATGAAAGGTCCACAGCGAAAACGTCGATGGAATCATCTATGCTACCGAACTAGGAAATCATGGATAGACGATACAATAGGCGAAATCCATGGACCCGCTCAAGCCCTGAAGGCCGCGCTCTCAGTACTATTCCTGAAGCCGGTGTTGTTCAGGCTCGACCTACCATTGCAACTGTAGAGAGGGCATCCGCCGCCAAGATTTTCCTAGAGACTTACTTCAATGAACTTCTCTATAAACCAAATGCAAGATCTTTGCGGGGCCAGTGTCTCGAGTCTCAATTGTGCAACTATTTGCTAATGACACCGGAAGAGAAGGAGAAGATTCGGGTGCAATACAGAAGGCAGGAAACGTGCCATCTCAGAGAGTCGAGGGCAATGAGGGCAGGTTCTTTGGCTTACCATGGAAACCAGGACTCCTCCCCCTTGGTCAATAACTACGAGCCACTTCAAATTCTGGGCAAAGGCAGTTTTGGAGTAGTAAGACTGGTGCGTGAAAAGCCTGCCCCAGGGCATGCTTTCCCCGGCCAAGTCTATGCTATGAAAGTCATTCGAAAGACAGAAATGCTACGGAACAGCCAAGAAGGCCATTTGCGGGCTGAGAGGGATTTTCTTGTGGCTTCTGAAGGATCACAGTGGTTAGTACCAAAGCTGACCAACACTACAAGGTCACTGACTGACTGAAGCACCTTCTCAGGGCTGTTCCACTGATTGCCAGCTTTCAAGACACAACGAACCTCTATCTAGTGATGGAGTACATGCCTGGCGGCGATTTCCTCGGATTGCTCATTCGGCAAAACATTCTACAGGAACCCATTGCACAATTTTACATCGCAGAGATGATCCTTGCTGTTGAAGAGGCCCATCGTTTGAACTTTATTCACCGTGACATAAAACCAGACAACTTCCTCATATCCGCAACTGGTCATCTGAAAATATCCGACTTTGGGCTAGCATTTAATGATCACTGGTCCCACGACGCAGCATACTATAATACTCATCGATATTCCTTGGTCCGAAGACTAAATATTAACATAAATGGTGACGAGACGGATCAAAAAGGCAATAAGGATCTCCTGAAACATCTTGAGTGGTACCAGTCTCTTGTTTCTGGACTTGACAGGCACGGGAAACATCCATTGGCGAGTAACGAGGATTTGCGAAGTCTTATCGGTTGGAGAAACCGGCACGGTAACCGCACTGCTGCGCGTTCCGTCGTTGGTACCAGTCAATATATGGCTCCTGAAGTCGTTCTTAGTCAGAAATATGACGGGAGGTGTGACTAGTAGAGCATCGGCATCATCCTGTATGAATGCCTATACGGGCAGACACCCTTTCTAGCAGAAGAAGGACGCAAGCAGACGAAACAAAACATCGTTGTGCGTACGTCCGTATCAACTTGAACGAGGCAAATGACTAACAGCAACCGCAGGACTTCAAGAAGAACTTCCATTTTCCGCCCAGGCCATTCGTAAGCGACAAGTGCAAAGATCTCATCTGCCGCCTGATTCAAGAGAAGGATATTCGGCTGTGTTCAAGGAGGTATCAGGTCAAATACCGGGATTCGTTCAAAAGCTATGTGTTTCCCGATGATGCGGAAGATATCAAAGCGCATAGGTGGTTCAGAAACACGCCCTGGGATCGCCTACAATCAATGCCTCCTCCATTCACTCCGAATCTGAAGAGTGATGACGATGCACATTACTTCGATGAATCTGAACCGTTTGAAGACTGGTCTGAGTCGATACCCTCGGGCGTCTTTCTCAGATCGGAAGATGTCAAGGAGATACTTTTTGGATTTGACACACATGTGCAAGCAAAGGCTATGGAGCTAATCAAAATCCCGTTCGACGCGGCCAAGCTTCGAAGCATAGACCGTGATATTGATGCATCAAAGGAACTTCAGCCGAACGACAAGGCTACACTGAAGCAGTTTATTAGATTTTATGGCCATAAAGAGCGCAAACGACCAAGAGACATGTTGCTCCGGGACAAGGATACCAAAAAGACTTCATTGAGAATTCGAAAAGAGACGGCTTTCATGGGCTACACCTGGCGCCGGATGAGACCTGGTGGATATATCGATCCAAAAGTAACGGAGATTCCTAAAACGGACGAAAGCCAGGCATCGACACTGAACATTGAGCGTTGAATAAAAAGAAAACACAAGAAAAGAAAAGGAGGGCGGTATGAGATACGAGGGTTTTCAGCCCTCAGAAGCATTGTGGGTAGTATTACGAATAGACATTAAGAGTTAGACCTTATTGGCGCGTATACCTTCATCCTGATCCTCATTTCATCATCCTAGCCCTATGCAGAAACATCAAATCATTACCATAAAATTGAGCGTGCATTCTTCATTGTGATTTGGACCTTTGGTTGGTATTGCTGTACGAACCAGACTCTGTTAAAGCAGCTGGGTCACCAGATGCAACAGCTTTGGCATTGCGAATCTCCCACTCAAATTCCTTGAGGGCCCGGATCTCCCAAGAGAAGAAGAGCAGCGAGAGCAGACCATCGATAACACCAGCGACCAAGCTGAGACTACTGACCAGCATAAGGACAAATGCGACGTAGTTTCCAGGACTAAACCAAACAGCCACAAGACATGCTAGCCAGACAAACAATGCACCAAAGAAGTGCACACCTCGCCAGTAGCGCTGGCGAATCTCACGAGCATGGTATTTTTGTATCATTCCCAGAATTTCATCGTAGGTGGACGCGTGAAATGAATCGTGATTAGAGAAACGACCTCGCCTCAGTTGGGTATCGGGATCCGCAGTCTGCGCTGCGTCACCTGAGTGAATGCTGCTAGCCGGGCTACTGGAGGCCAAGTATGCGCCAGTTTGTAGAGCAGCAGATGGTGTTTCGGAACGGGGATCTGCTCTGATAGGCAATGGGGAAGGGGTATGCCGGACGAGGGTGGCTTGAACAGCAAAGTGGTCGGAGAGGGAACAAAGGAGATCAGGATGCCGCTCAGTCATTGAAACATGGGCCGACTTGACGATCCAGCCAGGAGCGGTAGCAGGAGCATCAGGGTCGATACCTGTTGAGGCAAAGATATAGTCGAGTCGCTGGCCGTGAGGATCAATCGTATCAGGTGGGACCTCGCAAAGATCGCCTCCTTTGAGCCGGTTCTGCTGGTTTTTGTTCCAGCGCCAGGTATTATAGACGGAATTGCTGGTTGCGCCATTCTCGAGGAGATTGAAGTCGGCTGTCGGTAATGGCCGATGACGATCCTTCTCAGATGGATGGTAGGCAGGGCCGAGAGCGCTATCAGGGTGTAATTTGCGCCAGACGTCATGAACAGGCGCATGTGTTGTTATTACACGGTGAAATATAGACAAGGGTAACATGTTGAAATCTCCCATTCCGATAACGAGATGTCCACGTTCAGCAGCGCCGCGCAAAAGTTTTGAAATCTCCCATGATTGCGCAACTCGATGACAATCGTATGTACTCACGGGCTCGGGCTCGTATGGGGAGTGAGTCTGGAGAATTCAAGTCAATTAACACGCCGAAAAGCGATATAACAGATTCAGACTCACATGTGTGTTGAAGACCTCAATAATGTCCTTTCTCCTTGGGCCAAAGCGAATTTTGGCGCAAGCAACACCCTTGCCTACATACCAGTCTCCTCTCCAAAATGCAGTTGGTCGTCCATTGAGGGGATACTTGAACATGGTACTCTCCTCGATCGGCCAGTGACTCAAGATGGCCAGACCGCCACCAAAAGCACCGCTGTGGTAGAACTTTCCATAGGGGAGAATCTGGCGAGTGTGATGCCGAATGGCTTGGTAATCCTCCTGTGTAAAACATTCCTGCAGAGAAACGATATGCGGTGTAGGGACAGCGTGTGCGATTCTATGGCCTATCTCGTCAAGTCTTGCAACTCGCTGGGTCGATATGTAGCGAAGACCCCAGCAGTTGAGGGTCAAGAGGTTGATCTCAGAGGGGAAATTATGAGCATCATCATGGTTGACGGCAATGGTGGAAGGCGTTGTGACATGCTCAGCAGCGTCACTTGCCATGACCATGGCGCCGGTGGAGTATGCGGAAGTAATGGTGACTGATATGTTTCGTAAATATCAGACAGTCGGAGAAAGAGGGTGAGACAAGGGACCGGGCATGGGACAAGTTTTGGATCCCAGGTTGGAGAGTGGAAATATTGAACGTGGCGCGATGCCTCGGCTGCTGGATATTAGTTAATTACTGAGATATGAGGGCATCGGCCAGGTGTCACTGGTATTAATTAGTGGTAGAGCCTAAGAAGCGTAAACCGGCAATAGTACAAATTAGTTACGATCGAAAACAAAATTCTAAAATGAGGGAGATGCGATGGACGGTGACCGCCAGGAAAAGGAGTGAGAACAACACGCGACGCGAAGGAGTCTAATGTGATAACTACTACCAGTAAATTAACAGAACACCAATTGAACCAATACCACAGCTCCTTCTTGTTTGGGGACACTGCCGGTACTTGGTCACCCGGACCATCCGCTCCAAGGAGGGAGGGGCCGATGCGTGGGGCTGATTACCGAACTGGATCCAGTCTAGCAGGTCTAGGTACGCTGCCCTCGGGGAGCAAGAAAACACAGGACCTTCATATGGGGTGCCAAAATAAACCTAGTAAAAGATATCCTAAACTTAGTGTAGATATTCTAAGTTTATGTAAAGTTACCTAAGTCTTTTTGTCATTTAGGATCAAGGTCTCGAGTTTTCTTTCCTCCCTTAGGCTGCCCTTGGGGAGCAAACATCAGATATTGATGCAGGGTGTTAAAATACACTCAGCAAAAGTTATCCTAAACTTAATAAAGATATACTAAATTTATGCTCATTTACTTTAATCTTTTTGTTATTTAGGATCAAGATCTTGAGTTTTCTTTTGTCCCCTAGGCTACTCTATAAGTTAATATGGGGGTTATAGATGTGGCCGGGGTGAAGGAAAGACAATTGGTGATAGAACTGCTATAGTCATAGCCGTGTTCCTCTTGATTCTGTTCAATGAGATGTTAGCATCATGATATAGTATGTTTGTTAGAGATTGCGTCTCTTAGCTAAAGTATCATCCACACCTGACGGCAAGATGCCAAACCAAATTCATCATATTGCTTCCTGACCTTATCAATAGGCTAAGTAAATAACCTCAGTCTTTTTCTCTCTTAACTAGGGCCAAGGTTCCAAGTTTTCTTACCTCCTTTAGTTTAGGTGGACTCTAACTTACTCTAAACGGGTTCAGCTCTCCCTTTGAACTAAGATAGAAGCTTCCAGGAACCCTGCAATTCTGCCGGTAAGATAAAGTTACCATGTCATCAGGTTCAGAGCCTCATCCTTCTCCTCACTCTTATTCTCACTCTCAATCTCAGCTGCCACATGCCGAGCTTCACCATTGGTTTGATACCCCTCATCGAACTTGAGAGACGCCATGCGTCATTCTTGGGTACCTATCCATTCATAGAACCATCTGGCAAAGTCCAGGCATGTACGGAACTCTTCACTTATAACCAATACTGCCCGGATCTATATTGAATTCCTCATGTCTGGTCCGACCATTGACTATAAGTTTAACCAAGAATATCATTCTCCTGATAGTCATAACATCCAACTCGTAACCGTTTATCCACATCCACAATGTCTGTAGTCTTTGAATCTCTTCTCATCAAGTTCAAACCCATTCTGGTTGAACACCCCGAATCCCCTCCTGCTTCTTTCTCATCTGTGACCGATCACCTCAAGTCTGTTTCTGGGGTCGAGTCCGTGTACCTTGGAAAGCCCCTCGAGAAACCTGATTACTGGGTTCTGGGTATCCGTTGGGCCTCGCGCCCTGCCTATGATGCCTTCATTTCCGGCTCCGCGGCCACCGATTGGCATGCCTCTTTGCGCGCCCTGCTGGCCGAGCACCCTGTCGTCAGTCCAATCGCAGAGTATACAGGTCATGCCGAGCGCGCCCTCCATGCACCCATTACAGAGTTTTGTACTTGTTGGGGCGCTGATGAAACCTTCACGGAGGAGAACATGAAGCCATTCGCCGTTGCTTGTGAGGAGGGTGGGCTGGCTGGGCTTCATGGCTTGGCTTACGGCGAATTTGTACAAGGACAACATGAGAACCCTTCAGTTATTCCTGGCCGAGCATCTAGGCTACTGATGGGGTGGGATAGCAAAGAGGCTCATTTGCAACACAACAATAGTGGAAGTGGTAAGCCTCATTTCTTGATGTTGCGACATCAGTACTGACTGAATTGCACCGCAGTAATTGACGATAACGTATACTATCTGCTTGCTCGGAATAAGAGCCTTGAAATAGTGAGCCGTCTAGGAACTTATAGAGAGCGCGAGTAACTAACATCTCATGTAGTATCATGTCCCTTTCAAAAAGCTCTGAGAGACTTAGTTTCACGCCCAATGGGTGCAAATAATATCAGATTGTTATTGGATTAAGTAGAGAACAAAGTATCACTGAGTCAATGCGCCGTCGAAAATCAGATACCTTGAAAGCTGTCACTTGTCAATGTGAGGCTCTCTCTTCCTGCCAATAAGCCCCGTCTTGTTTCCGTATTCGTCCCAATGAAATGCGATCCCGTCCTTGACACCATTTCTATGCCCTTCAACCATCCTGCGACTTCTCACCCACCCTTGAAGCTTCATCTCAGGTGGATGGAATGGTCTTCTCAAAGTTCTGAACTGTACCCGGTGGCCTGATATCGCCCTCCTTTTGGACCTCCAAAATACACTGCATCCTCCTTTTAGCCTCTTGATATCTCTGCAAATAGCATTCTGTTCGTCCTAGTCCGTTGATCGCTCGAACGTCATTGTACCGATCTAAAGAATTAGATACGATGTTTCTCCGATTCTGTATCAAGATCTCAAGGTTAGAAATTTAATTCTTGCTGGGTCTGTTTTGCACCTCACCAAGTCGAGAGTAGAGCATGTACAATGCCATACGGTTACATTCCTCCGTTCCGGTAATGGTCACCAGTCGCTCGTTGCTGTTGTCCTGCGGCTCGTTGATCTTGATCACGCTGTTGCTCATCTGGCGGATCTCATTGATCTTCTGTCCACCCTTGCCGATGATAGCACCGACCATGTCGTTCGGGATGTAAATCTGCTGTGTGATAGGCCCGCCGGGGATGGCACCGCCCATGGGCTGAGCTTGGGGAGCACCAGCATGAGGTTGAGGACCAGCATGGGGGGCCATGTGCGGTTGGGCATGGGGAGCTGCGCCATATGCACCCCCTCCCTGAGCACCGCCATAATGCATAGGCATGGCAGGGTTGGCCTGAGCAGCTGCATGGGGGTATTGCTGAGGATAAGGCGCGGGTGGCATATGGTGAGATCGCCGGTCGTTGTGGCGGCCGTAATTTTCACTTCGTCCGTAGTGGCCTGAGGCCGGTTGGGGTGAGTAGGGAACAACCTGCATACCTCCTGGGATCGAGCCAGCAGGGGCGCCGCTACGGGTTGCGTAGGCAGACGCAGCAGGACCTCCAAACCTATCATTGAGCTGTTCGAGAAGGGTGCTGCCAACATAGTAAGTTGCGATATGGACAGCATCAGCGACACCCATCACTACCAGCGATCTCTCGCTTGACATGGGCAAGCATGAGTCAGAAGCGTTCAACCGAGCACCAGATGCCTCTTGGATCTCACGAATACGGGCACCACCCTTACCAATGATGGAGCCGATCAAAATATGCGGAATGAGTAGCCGTAAGGGATATGTTTTTGAAGACGCGGTTGAGGATTCGTTTAGGGGTTCATTGTTCAGTGTTCGGATGATCAAGCCAAAAGCCTAAATTGATGTTAATTTGTAAACCATGCGTCATGAGAATAACCATACCTTAGCTACAGCGTCCACTATGCCGCTAACAGTAAGAATACGTTCAACGGCCCCCTTTTGGTAGTCGCTGACTGTGCATTTAGCATTGGAAAGCTTCCTGATGTTGGAAACATTCTCGCCCCCCTTTCCAATGACGGTAGCTGCCTCCGGGCTCGAGATAACAGCGCGAATATGAATCCATGAGGTCTCGTCATGGGCAGCAGCAGATGTTACAGCGTTGGATGCAGAGGCAGCAACTGTGGCGGCAGCGGCGGCCTTCGTGTCGGATGCATGGTCCAAAGTGGTATCGTCATCATCTTCAGACTTATGGGCTCCGTTGACCTTATCATCATGGTCCTCTGCAGGGACGTCGGTGGGAGCTTCGGGGACCTCAACATCGTCGTCGTGCTTGTTCTTGTCGAGAGCAGGTCGTTTGGCATCAGGCTGATCACCAGCGCGTGAGGGCGAAGAAGCTTCTTCCAAAGGGCGCTTGGCCGACTGGGTTGGTTGTGTTGGAGAAGCAGACATATTGAAATCGTTATTGTTCACGCGAGTTTAGTCTTTCTGACAATCGACAATTTGAAAACGTCTCGTTCTTTCTATTGTTCGTCTTATATACACTCAGGGGTTTTCGAAGGAAAACGTGCTGGTGTAGTGACTTTCGCTGGGTGTGCTTCGATGAAATACTCGTGAAGTGACTTATGTCGCGTAAATACGATGCGTGTTGCGGGCTGAATGGAAGGAAGAGGGATTCGAGATTCGGGCTCAAGGGCGGGTTCCAGAACTCTTTCAGCGGGCGTCGAGTAATTACCCGGGAAGATCTCCTAGATATAGGCGGGAGAGGAAGGGCGGAATGATTGTCTTGTGATGCAAATATTGAATAGTGGTGAGGATAGGTGAAGCGATCGATACTGGGACGGACTTCTTAAAAAGCAAAAAGAGGCAGTGCTCAGCTCAAACCTTCTGACCCGGACTCGAGGTTTATCGATCGCAAAAGTCGCCAGATTCCTGAGCTCAAACGCAGAATCTGGAGCACAAACTATCTCGCCGCGAAGCGTCGGAGGATGAGAAGCTGAGACGAGAGAAGCAGGTTCTCAAATAGATCGGCGCGCGGTGTTTTAGAACTTTCGCTGTCGCAATGGGTCCCAATACCAGGGACGGACCAATCCAAATCAATCAGAAGAGAAAGAAAAAGAGAATATCTCAGAAACGATCACGAGGAATCGCTGAGAATAGAAAAACGAGGATCTCACGAGAGGAATGGCAGGTGAAAAGGGGGAAGAATGAATATGACACGACAAAAGGTCGATGGTTCGGAGTGAGGAGATGGGAGAAAGCCGGAGAAGTAGCCCTGCGAGGATCCATCCTGGGTAAGGTAGGTGCTACCTAGGTACCTACCTAGGCACGGAGCGTTTTGAGATGTCACGTGCACCACCTCGATCTGGGCATGAAAGCTTGGGCCATACCTATGAGCTCAGGCGCTCCACGGCGATAACTTACTGCCTCAGTAAGGTAGCAGACAATCACAACCGCCGATATAAGTACCTACCTCTGGCACTAGACCTTTCTTCTTGATAGCCGAACAAATTTCAATCATATCATAGGTACAAGCCTGATGACTATGCTTGTCTCGCTATACCTGGAGGTCTCCAATTAGTTGCATCTGAACAACAATTGCCTGTCCTGAACAGCTCCTTGGAAGGCGCGAAGTGACATATCTTGATCACCTAAATCCACACACAGTACCTTAGTACCTTAGGTGCCTCCATCCTCGCAAGTTTCAACTCTTCCCATGCTCTAGAAAAGTCAAAAGCCTTGCCCATTGCTTGAGCCAGTTGCGTGAACTTTACGACAATGGACTACAGGTCGCAATCTACAGCGAAAGAGGAGTACATAGCCAATGTTGATCAGACATTGAGAGAACTCCAAGAGAAAGTCCAACAACATGAAAACGAGTTGGAGAAGGTATTCACGCGCCAAAACCCACAGTATGCCCCATGGCTAATGTCTTAAAGCTTCGTTCAGAGCAAAGCCAACCCCCACAGTCTGCGGCTGGACAGGCACGTCTCATACAGGTGGCTCTCAAAGAAGTGACAGTGTCGGATCCCTTTCTCCCCTCGCCAAGGTCGCTGCTACCGACGCTGTTGGCGTTTCGCAAGACTCACCAGACCATTCAAGAGTCCAAATCCTATCTTGCCTCTCAGCGTGCGGGACATGAACAACTATCGCGTCAGCTTGAGGTGGATGAAGCGCGCCTCAAAGATCAAAATCTACTTGGCGATGCTCTAGCTGCGCGTATCTCGTCGTTACGCGATGAAGTAGATGCGGGTACTCACGTCACCCAGGGAGAAGGAGCAAAGGAACTATTGCAAGAACTCAGGGCTAAGAAGAAGTCTTATGACAGAGAGACGTCAAAACTCATGAAAGCTCTCCTTCGATTCATCGATAATCAGCTGGCACCCATGCTTGCCGCAGAAGAGCTAGGAGGGCCTGTGGTTGGGGATCTTATAGGTATTGATGGAGATGATTTGGCCGCCGGATTTAACGCACAAGGGAAACTCAGGAAACCAAAGGACAGTGACGATAAAGGAGATAAACGGCAACGCAGAATCGATGAGATTTGGGGACAGGCTACTAATGAGGGCACTGGGCGTCAGGACGAGATTGCAGCTGCAGCTGCAGAGATGAAGCAACTGACAGAGGAGCTTCTCAACACGCTTGCTGAAGCACAAGGCAATAACTCAGCATCGTATGTGCAATTGTCGCGTGAAACCGCGGCTGCACGGTTTTTGGTCAGGTCTAAGGTTGCACAATTCCATCCTAAAGATGCAACCAGGCTCAAACTGGTGGACTTCGGACGAGATCTGGAACCCTGATTAGGTAGTCACAGATATAATGAGAGCCTCAAGAACAACCCGATCTGTTTTGTAGTGATGTTTCTGTCAAGTCACACAGGTGATTATTGCCGCCATTGAGAGAAGTTAACCCCCCGCTTGTGATTATGGAATTTAGAGTACGGTGTAATGATTTAGCATATTTCATTATAAATCAATAGTTGTAGATAAACAGATAGGCCTGATGAGACTTCCACAATAACATCTGCGCGAAATGAGGTCCTGCAGAGTATAAAAACAACCTGCTACTCTAAACAACAAGTCCTGCTGATTGGTCGATTCTGTAAGTGATTACGCGCTACGAAGTAGATACCTATGGAACGCCAGAAATAGCAGAGATGCGGGATTGTCTGTTTAATACGAAAAGTAGGTGTTTTGACACTTGTATGAACTACAATTATGATGGTCAGCTTAAGGATACCGTGGCAAAAATGCTATTAGTTAAGGTCTACTACAAACCCCAGGCTATGTCTGCATGATGGGAGAGAATCGATATTTTCTTGCTAAGTCCAAGGAGCGTTACCCACCCAACCGCGTCGCGTTTGTCCTGGCCCAAGCTGGGTGGCCCTAAACTCCAGCTTCGAATTCCACGACAATTGCTTCCCCATTCTCCCACCTCATATTCAACAATGACCTCTGAGACTCTCGTCCCCGATAACTCTGCCGTTTCATCACCTCCCGCTAAACGTGCCAAGACTGCCGCTACAATGGAAGGTCCCCCACCACTTCAGATTAAAAAGCTTTCTGACAAGGGTCGTTTGCCCACTCGTGGGAGTGCCTTTGCTGCTGGCTATGATATCTACGCTGCTCGCGACACAACCATTCCCGCCCGTGGCAAGGCGCTAGTTGACACTGATATCAGCATGGCTGTGCCTGCCGGAACCTGTAAGTACATAGCCAGTTGAAGCCCTGATTAACCAGTTTAAAGTCAGCCTTCTGACAAAACGATGAATACAGATGGACGCATTGCCCCTCGATCGGGTCTCGCTTCCAAGCATTTCATTGACACAGGCGCTGGTGTCATCGATGCCGATTACCGCGGTCAGGTCAAGGTCCTGCTCTTCAACCATAACGAATCCGACTTTGAGGTGAAGGAGGGCGACCGCATTGCTCAACTTGTTCTGGAGCGCATCTACACCCCAGAGGTTGTCGAGGTCCAAGAACTCGAGGAGAGTGTCCGAGGCGCTGGTGGCTTCGGCAGCACTGGTTAGATCGTGAAGGAGCGTATGCAGACTACTCTTCTGCCAAGTTTCATGAAGTAATGAATTGGGTTTTGGGACAATGCAATAGACTTACTGTACACAGTTGAGGAAGGCTGATTATGCAAGAGAAGCTCTCAGAGTGAATTATTTGAACCTCAAAGTCAGATCTGAAACCCTTGGATGGATTCATGACCAGACATCTATTCCAAAACCTTTCTACCCATTTCTATCTAATCTTTGCTGGTTTCTACTCTAGTGGCCATTGTAACCTGAGACAAACCGCCTCCCATTAGATCTAAATGGCCTTCGCAAGGTATCGCGTCGTGGGTGAGCGTAAGCAGTCCAGATTCCTCACAAGTTGAAGCTCTGCCGCTTTACTCTTTACGAGGTGCGCCTTAGTTTCGTCAATTCGATCCTCATCTTTCATGTCGTCCGTTGTCCGTTCAATCACCCTCTTCATGCCCTCGCAGGTCTTGGATAGAACCTCATGCATACTGCCTAGGACCTTTTCTGCAGCGCGTGCAAGAGGTAGTTCAACAGCCGATACCGAATCGTCGCTAAGCCAGCTGGCGGTATGTCGCAGCCGCTCGTCAGCATTGAAGACAGCCTCACGCATGCGGATTACCATCAGAGCGCCAAACATGTCGCCTGTACCGCTGAAATAACAATCGATTGATGGGAAGACAATCTTGAAAAAGCGAGCTTTGCCAGTAGATGTCATTGTTGAACCAACAACAGAGAGATGCGAAGGTGGGTGGTCTGGTGCCTCAAGGTTGACTGAAGTAATGACGACATGAGGAATCTTGTACTTGTCGTGGAGCACTTGAATGGCCTTTCGGAGACTGTCCATATCGTGGATTTTGACTTCTGAAAGCAGCCTTTTCGTAGAAATGGTTAGTTGGAATCTCTAAAGTCTCTGCAAATGCTCTTAAACATACTCGGCCTCGAATTGGTTTGGAAGAATAAGGTCCGCATCATGGATGAGCCTCTTGTATGCTGGCACCACTTCCTCGGAGACGTAGATCTTTCCATTGTCACCCATGACGGGGTCGAGAGCCCAGAAGAACTTGCCAGGTGCTTTACTTGACTTTTCCTTGAGTTCACGGCCTATCTTACCGACCGTCTCGACGGCTGCAGCGCCTGGGATATATCCAGAAAGCATCACATCAAAATCATCCAGGTAAGACTGCTTCAGTCCTTCCCAGAGATCCATGATCTCCTGTGCTGAGACTCTCGTTCCCTTCCATTGCTTATATCCAGTATGGTTGCCTTTGCAGGTGAAGTCCGCGGGTTAGAAACCTGGTTTCTTATTTCACTCCACCGATCGAGATGACATGAATACTCACTGAACTGTACGGTGTTGAGAGCCGCGACATCACATCCCAAAGACTGTAGCACGAAGACGGCAATCTTGTTACCGACATACCTAGGGCATATAAGTCACTGTGACCCCGAGAGGGGGAAAAGGATAGTTACCCAGAGACAACCTACAGCAACGACCTATCAGCCTCGGCTCAAGATGTTAAAAGTGACGGAATATTTGATGGCATACATACATGGCTTGCCACAGCGAGAACCCGTGTGTCGGGTATTGTTGGGATGGTGGACATGTTACTAGAAGCACTAGTTTAATCCTCGATCTTTTCTTGATATTCTGCAAGCGTTCTGAATAGAAGTCTACGCAAGCCTAGGTAACCAAAGATTTTCCTTGTGTGAGACGTCACTGAACAAAACCTCTCAGTCGGCGTCAGCGGACGATTCTGCAGTAGAAGCCTAAAACACCGGAGCTTAAATGAAATGACAAAGAAGGCTGAGTGTTATCTGTAAAGATTGAAGAAACAGAAGAGAAAATATGTCGCTGACTCAAGGAAGTAAATTGGTTCTGTGACTTGGTTGCGGCGTCTTTTGAGCTGTATGTCGCTCGATATTAGTCACTGCCTAGTTAACTTGAAGAAATCGGGTTAAGCCTGGAGCATTAACAAGCTACCTACTAACCTACTTACCTGGATGTACAAAGTTTGCAAAATAGAAACTTCAGAACACTTGCCCTCATCGCCTAGTATCGAACTGAATGATGAACCGAGTGATTGGCTCAACTACAGCGAGGACAGCCTTTTCTCTACGCTTTTGAGCTGATAGCGAAAGGCTACGAGTGACTTCCATTTGGTTATGTGCCCCGTCAGCCTTCGATACCGTCCGATGCGGTAACTACCATTGCCCCGCAGCAGGCTTCTTTTGACCAATTAATAATTCTTAGTAGGTAACAACCTAGGAATGTTGCTGTCCCTCCAGAAGCAAGCAGACTTGTAGCCTTGAGGTATGACTAGGGCCGAACATCTGAGTTCACTCTCAGTCTTTGTCAACTAGGATAGAGACCTTCAGTTTTCTTGCCCCCTTGGCTGTAAGCAAGACAGCTTCAAATTGCAACCAAGACTTACTTCGAATATGTATACGATATGCTTATCATGCCAACAGACTGGCGACTTGGGGAATGCTCAGGTTGCTTAGTATAGAATGTGACGCTAACCTGGCGAATGGCACAGTACGTCCATGCAGGTATAATTTGTGTCGAGTCAATATCAACTTAGAGAAGCACGATCTCATATTATCATTTATCGTCATGGTCAACAAGGGACTAAAGCTCCTGACTTGGCGCCCTTGTATTCCCTATTTACCCCATTCGTTTACATTGCTTTTCCTTAGCACACGCCTTTGATGCCTGCAAAAAGGCTTCAAATAATCAGATCAACTTCCTGGTATCCGTATTTCTTGTATTGCCCTCTGACATGTGTTTTGTCGGAACTGTTGGATGGTATCATTGCGACCGCAAGCGCCGAGCTTCTGCCATTTAGCATGATGGTGTCATATTGCATTATGGCACTTTTCTACTCCTCATCGCCAATCTTGGGCGCAAGATAGAAACGCAGGTGGCTTTGACCCTGCAGATTGTACTCCACCAAGAGGGGCACTTCATTGGAGAGCTTGATCTGGACCTGATCGGAGAGGCCAGCAGCCTTGCAGAAGTTGACCAGGTACTTAAGGGAGAAGGTGAGAGCGACAGGCTCGGTCAACTCAATGGTGACGTTTTGTTTGGGTTTCTCGAGATCCTCATGGCTTCGAAGAGTCACTGACCCGTTACCAATATCGCCATTGCATGCGAACTTGACACCGTCCTTGGAAGCCTCAATCATCACTGCCAATGTGTTAGATAACAATCTAGTAGCCTAGTATGAAGTGGGCTTTGCCGGAACTAACCTGATTCTGACATGGCCATTAAGTCGGTACAGATGCGACGAAACTCGCTAGAAGGCATTGCAATTGTAGCAGCATACTCGGTGTCGGGGATGCCCAGATGCTCCTGGTCAATGTCCATGAGCTTGAGGTCATACTCGCTGATGCGGTCGTTTTCAGGGCTTTCGAATTGCATGTTCAACACATCAGGAGCATCCTCAGCCTTAAGCGTGAGCACGTCGTTACTCTGAGCAGCGCGTAGGACCTTGGTCAGGGATGTGAGGTTGAGACCGAGGGAGATGTTACGGTCGCAGCGGAATATCTCGAAGGATCCAGCAGTAAGCAACATGGAGACCAAGGCAACATGGGAGTTGTCCATGGCCTGCAGCTGAATACCACTGTCATTGCAGTCGAAGTTGCAATCTTGGACCAGATCCTTAATTGCATCGACAACCTTCTTCAGAAGATCAGCTTGAGCGAGTCGTGATTCCAACATCTCTGTTCATTTGTTAGTATGCCACTGATGCGTTCCCACACGAGACGTGAAGCTGCCACGCATAGATAAAAGGGTGCGGTGTTCGCTACACGGGACGACTGACTGATTGAAAGGTTTGTTCGCAAACTGTGGCTAGGTATGGACAGGGAGTATAAGCAAAGGATACCTAAGTGAGCGGAATGGCTCGCAGAGTAAGGTGTGTGTGTTATGGTTATGGAAGGAGTATGGGAGGTTGTCTGGTGGATGAAATGCAAGATGTACGTAGCAATGTGCTTTTGTCGCGAAATTGCTAGGCTGCTTTACGCTAGCTGGCAGGTGGGGAGCCACTTAACGCGCGACCATCAAACAACCGACGCGTCGCGTTTTAGGTGGATGCTTCTCGTCGGTAGAATTAGAAAGCGCCACTATTAGGTATGTACTCAACTCTATCTAGCCTTAGGAAGGGAGAAACAAAATCGAGAACTTACCTACCTACTAGGTATCCAACAGGGCAGGTGCAAACTACAGAAGTATCTTTGTACCCAGGTAAGTTCTGAGCCTCTTTCCAGTTCTTCAAGCTTCCTAGGTACTTGATACCTCAAGGCTCCAATGGCTGTTAGAGAGAGATAAGGCAGTACCAAAGTTCTCCATAAGGTAAAAATGACCTATTATGTATACCCAAGGTGGGTGTAGCTATCATACATATGTTTGTTACCAAGAACGAGTCACCCTTCATAATTTACATTGAACGAAATAGGTAGATCGGCAAATAGGAACGAATGATATCCTGGGAGACCAATTTGTAGCGCATATGTCTTACAGCTATCGTCCACAAGGGCATATTGGTGCGACTGTATGTCGCCAAAAGTCCGATCGCCTAGAATGATGATAGCGGGCAAATAATCCAAAAAAAACAAGATCCCCAACCCTGAACCTGAAACGCCGCGGCCATCCATGGCTTGTCTATAGAATAGTGTCATTTATAGAGAGTTGTGCGTATCGTCGTGACGCTACCTGTGCTTGACATATTTATGTGTCTGTGGAGCTCGAATGTGAATTTTTCATAAGTCGATAGCAAGAGTAAAAAAAAACCGGTTCGGTGTCGATTCAGACAATTGTTTTGTACTCGGTAAAGGAGAAGGCGATTGAAAAATGTTGAAGATAATGATCGTGATGTTTGTTTCATAAAATCGATACCCCTACATTGACACAATCCGACCTGCTGGTGCGCTGGCACGAGTCCGAGGTCGTAGGTTAATAACTGTCTCTAGCTCCCGGAGCATACCCTTGGTTGCATCAACGT